ATAAATAAAGAAAATGCTTTGCTCCCAATTTTCTAACTCTGACTACGAAGTATGGAAATTTGAAGACGGCTATTCTTACTGAGTGAAAAGGGAAATTTAGTGCTGATGGCCTTCAGTTGTAGAATATGCAAACTCTGCCTTTTATTACTCTCACAAAATCTAGTTAATTTTGATCAGAAGGCATTGGAAAGAAAATAACAGGGATTTTTATTTTAGGATCTGAGGTAAAGATGTCTATAAGGGAATTATTATCTCTAATTGCAAAGTGAACACAGACATGCACTACTGTCCTAAGTCTATGAACAAATCAAGAAAATTTGATTCCTGAACATCTAAGGAATTAAATCTAAGCAGTTTGTATGCTGTTGGTATGAACAGAAAATACTCACTGTCTTCCTAAGTACTAAACATTACAAAGAATCTAAAAAGCATTCTAAGATACACACAGAAGGTTTGGTATTGGCTTGTACTCATTGCAAAAATGCACAAAAACTTAATGAGTGAGCTTTTCAGATATTGGTAAATCTTAAAGTTATTCATTACTGTTACAAAAATAAGGTAAATCTGGGTGCAATTTCTATTTTAGTGCTTGTCTTGACACAAGAAGATCTTCCCATAGCTATGCTATTAAAATAAATAACTTCAGCAGAACATCAGAGAAAACAAAAACAAAAACAAAAACAGGTTATTCAAACTTCTCCTAAGTTCAGCTTTAAAGGAATCAGACAGAAGCACTGAGTGATAAGAAGAAAAACTAACTGAACTCAAATTGGAAGGCACACTTCAATATAGGGAGAACAAATAAATTCCCAGTTTAGATGATTCATTAATTAAGTCTACAATACAAACTAACGAATATGAGTGAACCTTCTAACATCAGGAATTCAAGTGAGTTTTCATTGATAGTGACTATAATTAAATTCCAGAACATTTTTAATACCAGTATAAGTTATACCTCAGAGGAAAACGTCCCTCACTGTGCTTGTAATTACATCCAAGAACACTGGTTATCTATTTATCTCTAGCTATTCTCTAACTCTTCCACTGTAACACTTACAAGTCTGGCTTAATGTAATGCTGTTTATTAATAGTGACCAATGAAATCACTAATCTTTCACTGAATGTTCTTGGCTTTAAAAATAAAGAAAATCTTGTTTTAAATTATTTTAAGTGTCCTTCAGCTATGATGAGGTTTCAATATACATTTTATTTTTGAATCAATGATGCTTAGAAGAGTTGAAAGTGCTTTCTCATATGCAACGAAAATATTTTCCCCAAAGAAGCAGAAGAATAAAATTTTATATCTTTAGAAATATATTTTTATGTTAAAGTTCTCTTTCTCTGCTGGAACATAAGCTCCTTGACAGCTAGGTCTCATATTTTTGTGCCACACACTTTGAGCAGACTACATAGTACAGAAATACACTTTCTTACTAGATTCTGAGAGAATTATTATATACAATAAATTAACTTTTTTCCTATGTTTACAGAATGCTAATTAGTTTATGTACCAAACTCAGAAAATTTAAGATACTCACTTGAATAACTTTCTATACTGATAGTTTAGATGAAAAACCTCAGTTGAGAAAGGTAGAATATGTAAAAGTCACCTTAAAATTATTAAAGAAGTAAAAAGATCACCTAAAATCTTCTTTCCCGCACTCATTATTAAGTACTCAGGTTTTAAACATGTTAAAAACAGGGACATTTTTTCTCCTAATTTTTGTAATTTCTCTAAGGTCTATGACACTATGGTATAGAGTTCAACTTAACTTACATTATGTTTAACACAAACACATGCTGACACCTGCATGTGCACACTATCTAAACCATTTCCCCAAAATCACTGAATCAGAATCTCTAGTGGTAAGATCTAAGAATCTTCTAATAGTGTCTACAGGCTATAGACGTCTGGCTATCGAGGATGAAAGACCACTTAACTGAAATTCCTATATGCATTATTAGTTCCTCTAAATATGACCTGGTTCCTTCACTGCAATCATCTTCATTTGAATACTGCCTTTCAAATGCCTGTCTCTGTTTTTTTTTTTTTTTAAATCTGTATTATTCCATTTCAAAGACATGCCATAATTCTGTCCTAAAATTGGTCTTTTAAAAAAACTTCACCTTCTTCAGCTTCATTTCTTTTGTCCCTCAACCATCTATGATCTTTGTTATTTTAAACCTCATTCTTCCTTCTACTCTTAAAATATAGGGTCTCCTAACCTTATAACTTGGCTTTCCACAGCCTTTCTCAAAGTTTATCGTTTCTTCTGCTCCTAATAGAATATCTTGGACTTAACCATCTTGCATTAATTATGTAGTTTCCCTGATCTCTTTATTATTAATATAAATTTTTCTTAAATTGACAAAAGTATTAACGACTACTTAATTCACTTCTGGCTATACAACTAAAAGAACTGAAAAAAAATAAAACTTGAACAATGTTTACAGCAATAGTAACAATGTGGAAACAAACCAAGCATTCACAACAGATGAAGTAATAAACAAATGGTGGTATACACATATAATGGGTTACTGGTTTTAAAAAGAATGAAACTGTGATACATGTTACAAGAAGGATGAACCTTGAAAACATTGTTAGGTGAAATAAGACACAGAGGGCTAAAAATTGTGTGATTCTATTTATATGAAGGGTCTTTAAAAAGTTCATGGAAAAGGCATACTATAGAGAAATAATGCATAAATTTAAAAAAAAAGTTTGACCAAAACAAACTTATGTTCTAATTTCATTTCCCCATGAACTTTCTGAAGTACCTGTGTCTAAGTCATCTAGAATAGGCAAATTCCCAGAGACAGTACATCAGAATTTAACAGGGGTTGGAGCAGAGTATATGTGGAAAATTGTATGGAATGAGTACAGATTTTCCATTTAAAATGATGAAAAAGTCCTAGAAACAGTGATGAGGGTTATACAAAATATATTAATGCCACTGAATTGTACACTTAACATAGCTAAAATGATAATTTTTTAATAAATATTTCACAATCTTACAAAAAGCTACTAAAGGATTTTCCTGACTTTCCCAGAACAGTTTTGTTTCTACAAACTGAAAAATTTTATTGCTATTACCAAAAGAAAACTTAAAAACATCCTCCCATACTTTTTCCCCATATTCTCTAAATTTTTCATTCTGTTTTTAAATTTTTCCTTTTCCTCCTTTTTTTTTTTTTTTTGTAAAAACAAGATAGCATTTAATATGGGTATTCAGCATTTTCTACATTTCAAACACAATGATGTGGATTCATACACATGTGGATCGCTTCAATCTGTACTACACATACACACCTTACTTTACATTTCTTCCTTAGGTTCTTGCAAATTCTATCAAAAATTTTCCCTCCTTCTTGTGTTTGTTCTTTCACTTAAATATAAAAAAGACTACATGCCTTAAGATGCAGGTAATTTTTCATTACAAGCTATTTTTAGATACCAAGTACTTTGCAAATAATGGGAAATACCTATCTCAAAAATTTACACTATTTGAGAAAAGGTAGTTTAAAAGGAGTGAAAGATAAATACATCAAAAGGATCTTTAAGGAAGTGATATTACATAAACTATGGGGAGGCTGAGAAATGATATTCTCTTAAAGAAAAAATAGAGCAGGGCTGAAAGCTACTTTAATCTGAACTATGAAGAGCTGTATGATAATTACATGTATTATTTTTAGACATGACACTTTAAAAGTTTTAAAAAATTTTTTGTTCTTTCTAAAAATGATTAAATAGGAGTAATCTGCTCTCATGAAACTGAAAAAACAGGGAAAATAAATTAAGAAATAAATTTAGTATATGGAAAACTAAAAGATCTCATAAAGAATAAATGTACATAATACATGATGCGAAAAGACAGCAAGCCAATATGATGAATGATTTAGAAAAAAATCCCTAAATAAAGAGAAGAATGTGAACTTGTATAAAAAAGCAGAAAGGATGGGTGGTAGTAAGTTTAACAAGTCAGTTTAGGAGTAAACTGGACTGGGCTTTTTAATAGCAAAGCCTTTCCTATTTCTAAAGTAAGTTTGGACAATATGCAGGCAGAATTTTCCTTGGAAGTAAAATCTGATCACAGTTACAAGACAACAGAAGAACAACGCCAGTGATTTATTAGATGAAGAGAACTATAAAGGAGGCAATATGGGCCAGTCAGCAGGTGGCAAGTACATAGAAGATGAATGCGTCTCACACAGATTAATGGGGCAGCCATGGGCAGCAAATAGGTAGAAGAGGCAATAGTCAAACAAACTCAGTCAGCAATCCCAACTTGGTGGCACAAGGCAAGTGGAAATGGATAGCAGAAGTGCTAAACAATCTGCACCTACTTACAACATTACAGGCATAGATTGGGCAGGGCAAAATGAGGCAGGCAGAGAGCAGTGCATTCAGTAGGCCACAAAGTAGGGAAATGGTACGAGAGCAGAGACAATGCTGGGAGTCTAAAACGCTGAAACGGCAGATGGGTATGGCAGTATCAGGTCATTTGCTGATGGACGGAGAACCAGTGAGTGAATAATGCAAACTGTTCAGCAGATGAGTTAAGTGAGGCAAAAAGTAGAGCCAAAATCCAAAGGCATTCTAGCAGGAAGACAGAACAATAGAGAAGCAATGACAGATCATCAGAAGCAGCTGGGTAGGGTAGCAACAAGCTATCAGCAGGGGAACAAAACACCATTCAGGAAAAGATGGAGATTGAGAATGAAGCAGTCCCCTGAATTAGGTGTCTTCCATCTAGGAATTAGTGATCAATAAATTGCATGAGAATCCACAAGAGAACAGCACACAAATGGAAATAGCAGATGGGTCTGAACTCTATAGCCCAGGGATACAAAATGACCCTAGAACATAGATACATAACAATCCACAAGGAAATTAAACAAATGGGAATGGGTCCAAGCATTTTTCATGATGATAAAAGAAATCAAAACACTAAAAATTATTAATCTGGAAATGATTGGCTGGGATTGAAGTCTTCGCTTACCCCTTTCTGGAGCCCACAAAATGGGAATGTTGGGAATTTCTGCAGCAGAAAAACAGAAGAGAAAAGGGATTTCTGACTCCCAGTTTGAGGAAAGCAGGTCAAACTTAGGGCTATATGACCTGGTTCAAGGAAAAAAGAACCAGCCTGAACCTTCTCCCTTCCTCAGAATCAAACAATTTCTGAGATTTGGGAAAGGTTTAGGAAGCCCTCACCCCATCATTTCCCACAACCTCCCCTTTCACACTTACCTCCAGTGCAAACAGATTCCAGCAAGGAGGTACTTGGGAAAATTCACTCCCATGTCTACATCATGGCAAAATTTGAAGGTGGCCAACTAACAGTACTTTCTGTGAAGGTCAGGTTTCTGATTCACTGGGGTCCCTTCCACTGTTTGTGAGTGAGCAGAGGGGACAGATTGCTAGAAATTGCCTACCTCTTTGAAAGTGGATGAAAAAAGAATCAGGGGGCAGTAATACCAATAAATACATGGTAATACCAGCAAATACCTTGGTGATCTCATAATTATCATGGATTTTAATTCCACTTATATATTGATAATATGAAAAGATATTTCTAGCCTAGATGTTTTCTCTGAACCGCCAGATGTGATTCAACATCTCCACTTGGATATACAAAGGCCATTTGTATATCCTTTAAAGTTCCCATGACCAAAATAAAACTCCCGATCATCTCCCTCAAACCTACCTCTTCCCATATTTGATTCCATTTCAGTAAATGGTAACTCCATCCTTCCCATTTCCCAAGTCAACTTTTGTGTCTCTTACTTGACTTTTCTCTTATTCCATCTGTTACCTCCACCTTCAAAATACAATGGTAATCTACTTCTTCTGGTCTAAGTCACTCTCATTTTATACTTGGGTTATTTCAATAGCCTCTGACCTGGTTTTCCTGTTACAATATAAGCAATATCATGACATCCCTCTGCTCAATTACACTAATAGTGACATAGAGGTTTTACAGGGCCCATGGCTTCCCCTCCGACTCCTTTAATCACTGCTCAAATTTTATCTTGTCAGGGAGGTCTTCCTCAATGGATGGCTCTATATAAATTACAACTCTTTCCTGCCTGGACGACCTATCCTCTGTCGCTGGTTTATTTTCATTCATAGCACTTACCATATCCAATACTACACATTTTACTTGTTTTCTTATGTTTGTATCCTTTAACTAAAATGTAAATCCCATAAAGGTAGGAATTTTTGAGACTGTTGATTGTTGTAATCCCAACATGTTGAACAACACCTGTCCTATATTTGGTAGGCTTTTATTGAATATTTGAGTCTATGCAGCATTAACTTTTTGTGGGGCTTTTCCTTTCTCTATCTCAAAATTTCAAAGCATTCTTCTAAATGCTTACCTACGATGAGCATTTTTATCAACGGAGCAGATGCAAATACACTTCAGGATAGGAATCTTCTAAAAATAGCTTAATCCATGGGCCAAATCCTCCCCACTGCCTGTTTTTCTGTATGTTCTGCAATCTAAAAATTATTTTTAAATTTTTAAATGATTCAAAAAAATCAAAATAACAATATTTCATGAAATTCAAAATTACATGAAATACAATTTTGATGTCCATAATAAATTGTTACTGGAGCATAGCCAGGCTCATTCATTTACATGATATATAAATGCTTTTGAGCTACAGGGCTGGCAGAGTTGGGTAGTTGTGACACAGACCATGCAGCCCATAAAGCCTAAAATATTTACAGTCTGTTCATTTAAAGAATAGATTTCCTAACTACTTTCTTAAGGCCTTTTATTTCATGAGGCAAAGTTTGAGCAAGGGTAGTTTAGAGTCTATTATCATTATGTCTGTTACTGCAGCCCATGATGCATCTTCGAAAGACACTGGAAATAGGATTAGCTTTCATTATCATATTACATTATTATTATAAAAAAAGTGATGATGATATTCATCTACTCCACAAAGCAGCCCACCTTAAGGGACATGCTAAAGAAATGTTAAGTCCTAAAAATTGCCAAAAGGGAGGGAATCAAAGAGGAAACAGAGCTCACAAACTGACCTAGTAACAAAGTATTACATAACAAACCAAATTTCTATACACCCCATTTAACAGTAGTGGAAACTGACATGATGTGAATCTCTTTTGAATATTATCAATGGAGTTATTACTAAAGTAACTTTATTATAGTAGGGTTGCCTATATAGTGTCATACTGAATCACAGTACTCTCTTAAATTTGCGTAATATTAAAATATAAGCCATTCTCTCATTGATTCAAATATATTTATTTTGTAGCAAAGAGTTCAAAAATTTAAACTTTATTTATTTGAGAGGTACAGACAAACACATATAGAGAGCTCCCACCTGCTGGTTCATTCCTCAAATGCTCACAATGGCTGGTGGCAGAAGCCCGGAGGTGGGACTTCAATTCAGGTGTCCCACATGAGGGACAGGAACCACAGTTCTTGAGCCGACACCACTGCTTCCCAGGGTCTGCATTGGCAGGAAGCTGGAATCAGGAGCTGGAGCAAGCTATTGAACCTATGCTCTGATATGGGATTTAGCTGTTCTAATTGTCTTAACCACTAGGCCAAATTTTTTCCACAGTAGGAAGGTATTTTTAAAATTTACAAAACTGGGGCCAGTGCTGTGGTGTAGTAGGTTAACCCTCTGCCTGCAGTGCAGACATTCCATATGGGTGTCAGTTGCAGTCCTGGCTGCTCCTCTTCCTATCCAGTTCTCTGCTATGGCCTCAGAAAGCATTAGAAGATGACCCAAGAGCTTGGGCCTCTATATCTGTTTGGGAGACCCGGAAGAAGCTCCCAGCTCCTGGCCCAGCTCTGGCCATTGCAGCCATTTGGAGAGTGAACCGGTGGATGGAAGACTTTTCTCTCTGTGTCTCCCTTTCAGTCTATAACTCACTTCTCAATAAATAATAGAATATTTTAAAAATTTTGCAAAACTGTATTCAAAATCACTTTCTAATCAAACCTGACCTATATTTACCCTCCATAAAGTCTCACATCAAGGACTATTACATGCAAGGATATTATATTATTGGTTGCAAGTAAATTTATGGAAAGGTGTGAAGAAACTGAGGGGAGACACTTAAATTATCCCAATAACATTCATCACAAAAATGTTATTTTCATTTTTTGAAGAGAATAATTTATTACCTTTAATATCAATTAATCTTTCCAGCATAATCAACTGTTTCCTTTGCATTTTTGCCCTTGATCTTTGTGCAGTCTCTATCTCTCTTCATGAAACTGACAACAGTTCATCCTCAAACTCCATATTTTCAAAAGGTTTACTGCTTGTTTTGCTCAGCAGCTTTTGGAAGAACATGGATTATTTCTGAAAATTCTCAGCTGTGTGTCAGTAATGATTATCTGAAATGGTCATTCCTTTCATTCTTTAAGAGCAATCAGTCTCTTTCTAGGTTCCAATATAAAGAAATAATATTAATAAAATTACTATAGTCATCATTCCAAATCATTTATTTGGGTCTACTTTCTGACTCTGTATCAGTATCTCCTTATGGCAGAAAATAACAATATCCTGCCTTCATTAATACAGTTATATTATTCCAAAAAGTTCATGGGGCTGGCTGGCGCTGTGGCGTGGCAGGTAAAACTGCTGCCTGCGGGGCCGGCATCCCACACGGGCGCCAGTTCAAGTCCTGGCTGCTCAACTTCCGATCCAGCTCTCTGCTATGGCCTGGGATAGCAGTAGAAGATGGCCCAAGTCCTTGGGCCCCTGCATCTTCATGGGAGACCCCCAGGATGCTCCTAGCTCCTGGCTTCGAATTGGCCCAGCTCTGGCCGTTGTGGCCAATTGGGGAGTGCACCAGTGGGTGGAAGGCCTTTCTCTCTCTGCCTCTCCTCTGTGTAACTCTTTCAAATAAATAAATAAATCTTTAAAAAAGTTCATAATACTTGATATAAACCCATTTGTTGTCATCTTATTACATCTTTGTGAAAATCAACAGTTTTTATTCTATAAATGATTATCTAATATACAGAGAGATAAATTCACATTCATAATTTCAGATAATGATGGAGAGAGGAATATTCTGAAGTCGTCATTCCTGAGAATATATGTCCAGATACATCTGCTTTAGAATTTATATCTGCAAGACATACAGTGATATTTTGCAGTTAATGTCTTAGCATGTAAGACATTGGCAAAAAAAATCACATTACGGTATGCTAGCCTCTGTTAATTTGTCAGAGAAGGCTTGTAAGAGTGAGCTGGAAAGGTGATTTCAAGATTTTATCAATCTGATAAATTCAAGGTAAAAGAAGCACTTAGAATATTCTTTCTCCATTTCTTCTCCAGAACTACATTCTTATAGATTAGATTAGATAGTTGGTTGCTTTTTTTCCCCCCATTTCTAAAGATTTATTTATTTGAAAGACCAAGTGACAGAGAAAGGGAGAGAAAGATCTTTCATCTGCTGGGCTGGACCAGGTGAAGCCAGGGGCTTGGAACTCTAATTGTCTTTCCTACCATGGGCAGCAGGGTCTCAAACATGACAGCCACCTACTGCTAACTACCCACGTATGTTAGCAGGAAGCTGGAATGGAAGAAGAACTGCTAGGACTTGAACCTGCATTTTTTTTTTTTTTGACAGGCAGAGTGGACAGTGAGAGACAGAGACAGAGAGAAAGGTCTTCCTTTGCCGTTGGTTCACCCCACAATGGCTGGCGCGGCCGGCGCGCTGTGGCTGGCGCACCACACTGATCTGAAGCCAGGAGCCAGGTGCTTCTCCTGGTCTCCCATCAGGTGCAGGCCCAAGGACCTGGGCCATCCTCCACTGCACTCCCAGGCCACAGCAGAGAGCTGGCCTGGAAGAGGAGCAACCAGGACAAAATCCGACGCCCCAACCGGGACTAGAAGCCGGGGTGCCGACGCCGCAGGCGGAGGATTAGCCTAGTGAGCCGTGGTGCCGGCTTGAACGTGTAATCTAATATGGATGCCAGTGTCAAAAGTGGCCGCTTAAGCTGCTGTCACTAGAAAAAAAATCCTTTCAATATTTCTTCTACTG